GAAGTCTGGCTGCATGAGCCAGAACATCCCGCTGCGCACGTATTTCACAACCCATTGCCCAGTTCCTGCTGGACATTGTTTATCCTCCAGCCCGGGATTAGATTAGGGCTATTTTGCATTCCACTCTCCTTCATCTGCTTCTTTTGAGCAGGAGACCTAGAAGAAAAGATTTCCGAAGAGACAAGGTTTATGGAACCCACAAAAAAGGGGAAGCCAACAGGGAAACAGGTGAGGTGTGGGCAAGCAGCAAGAATGTAACCACAAGCTCTCTGTGCTGGGCAGCCTCCAGGAACCGCTGAGCAGGAGGGAACAGCTCTCTCATGAAGCAGGAAGGATTTAGGTCAGACGTGGGAGAATTTCCTGGCTGCTAAGGAATTGTCTGTAGAGGTTGTAAGAGGTCTTGGGCTCTTGCCCAAGGCTGGGGAATGGACTGAAGAGCTCCTGAAAAGTATTTTAATCTCCAAGTGTTTATGGAGCCAGCAAATTATGCTCAAGGACAGGTTAATCCAATCTCCCCACTATCCACATGGGGAAACTGAACCTTTGAAAAGAGAAGGGGCCTGGACAGTGGGAGATTGGACAAGAGGGAGAACTCGCCTGCAAGTCTTAGCAACAAGAAAGCTCCAGCCGTGTCCTGCCGGGGAAAGGGAAGACAGCCCTCAAGTTCCTGCAAGGTGGCATGCAGACCAGCTGGCAGCTCCAGGCCCAGCTGGAGTGGGAGATGGGGCAGGCCAGTCCTGAGCATATTGTGAAGGGGCCCTGCATCCCCCTAAGAGGAAGCTGCAGGGCCGGAGCCAGAATGCAGAAGCTGGTCCTTGTCCTTGGCTGTGTCTTCACTGCCCTGGAGGGTCTGACAGGGCCCTCCGAAGCTGGAAGTCTTCCCAGACCAGCAGCTGCCTGCAAAATGGCCTTGGGACATAATTCTCTTATGCCCAGCCACTCCCTGGCCAAGCAGCCTGGCTTTGGCCATCCCAGAGGACTTTGCTGCCCTTTGACTTAAAGTCCCCCAACCCCGGCCCAGGCTCTGTGCAACCTGAATCCCTATGTGAATGACCCTGTGGTCAGCATGGAAGAGTACCCACAGGGGGAATGGGTCCAGGGCTCCAGGCCATGTGTAGGATAGAGAACAATCAGATCTGGAGAAATAGAGGCAGTCAGGCCTACCCAGGGTCACACAAAAGGCCTGTGACAGAATAGGATAAGAAGCCAGGGTCCTGTCTGCCTCCTGGGAGCAGAAGGCCAGATGCTGATGGTGACCAGCGCCTCTGTGGGCAGCCTGAGCAAGACCATCCACCCAGCTTTCAGGTAGTTACCCCATCCCTAGGGTCCATCCCACGGTACTGGCTAGAATGCCTTGGGGGTACACACCGTGGAGTCCTATTTAGCAATGACAAGCAATGAACTAGATAGATCTTAAAAGTTTACATTGACTAAAAACCTAGGAAACAGAATGAGATTATAAAATAATATCTTTCATATACTTTAAGAATACATAAACACTGCAAATTTTATACAGAGACAAATGTTCAAGGACATATCTAAGGGTCAGGGGTGAGGATAAAGTTTAAAAATTTTTTATTATAAGAGAGGGGCCTTAGACCAGTGATAATAGTTAGTTTGCCCTGAAATGAGAATTATGATTAATTCCATTTTCTGCATTTATAAAAACAGGAGTCTCCAGGAAAAGTTCTCACTGGAACCTACTTAATAGAGTCTCTAGTACCATGTCTAAGGACGGGATGACTCCATACATTCTGGATAAGAGATCCCAGCCCTTCCTCAAAATTACATCCCCATGACTGATGGTTCTCTCTGCTTTCTGACAAGCATTACTCTCTCCAGGGTCTTCCTTTAAATTATACACTTTTAGGGATGAAGTTAGGGGTGGGTGAGCACACAGTTCTGGTTGTAGCTGGACTTCACCCAACATTGGCCACCGTGTCCAGAGGGCCTGATTATACAGCATAAGCCAGAGCAACAGACCAGTACCTCTGCCTCTACACCCACAAGCCCCTGCTCGAGCCTTCTTTTATCCCCTTCTAACATCACACAACCCACCCCCTTGTCCAAGCCCCTGTGAAGGGTCTGAAAGCCCAAGCCCGAAGGCCCGGCTGCTGACTGACTGCCTCCTGGGAGAGCAGGCCAGAGAAAGAGGCATTGTTCCTTCTTGGAAAAACATACCAGCAGAGGGAGGGGGCCTGCTGTTCCCAGGGACCTCAGCAGAGGATGGGGAGGGGTAGGTACAGGGCCTAAAGGCTGCTCTCTTTTCCAGCAGCTTCCCTCAGGGCAATGAATGTGTGACAAGGTGGAGTATGGCCAGGGGGAGCCAGTTAGGGGAGTCACAGAACCCCTGTGATGGTCAGAGATGTACAAAAGATAAAATGAAGATGTTGTGATTACATTTAAGCTCTAGAAAATGCATCAACTAATGTAATGAAAAAGGAGACCTATGATTAAGTGGGATGGTGGAGGGGGAAAGGGGGATTTACTAGAAAGAAGCAGGAGGGAACTTGCAGGGATGATGGAAACAATACTCTTGATTGTGGTGATAGTTACATGGTGCATACATTTGTCAAAACTTACAAACTTGTATACCTAAAATCTGTGCATTTGACTGTATGTAGATTAAATTTCAAAATAGTTTATTTCTATGAAAAGAAGACTGACAAGGGGAGTTCTGGGAGGAAGTCAGGACCTGGGATGTCCTCCTGAGCTACCTGAACTCTGTGACTGTGGGCAAATGCATTGCCCACTCTGAGCCTCAGTTCCCTCCAGCACTTCCATGTACCCTGGTGTCTCGTGGGGGACAGAATGAGGAGCATGCTCATGGATAATGGGAACAGTAAAGTATAGTTGGCCCTCTATAACCAGGGATGGAGAACTTGCATAGACAGAGGGCTGACTAAAGGGCTTGAGCACCTAAAGAATTTGGTACCCTTGGGTAGGTGTGTTGCTCCTGGAAACAATCCTCCTTGCTTATTGAGGGATGACTTTTAAGCAACTAATCATTATAGAAGATTGGCTGACAGAGGCCCTTGGGATGGGCAGTCTAATAACCCCTGCAACACAGGGGTAGGGGTAGGGGATGGGGGCGGGTCTTCCCTGCCAATCAGGAAAGACCTCCTGGAGCAGTAGACACCTGCCTGAACCTGAGATTTCTCAATAAGAGGAAGATCATCTGTGGCCAGGATCAGGGCTCAGATTGTAACCAGCAGCTCTGAGGTGACTGTCCTTGGTATTTCTCCTGAATGCTCACATGTAGTACTATACAAACGCTCCTCCCCCATAGTCTGGAACTTCTTTTAAAAAACCTACCCCAGTTATAATCAAAAAGGACCAATGATGTCAAAACAACTCTTTCTAAGTTTTTTTTGTTTGTTTTAATACTGAGCTTTAGTCTATAATCTGGGGACAAATAGCAATGAGTCTGAGGTTCAGCGTTATTGATAGGTATCAGACCTCAGTGTGTGGCCAGGATTAGAGATCAGTATAGGACTAGGATTAGGGCTCAGTCTGTAACCAGGATCAGGGTTCTGGCAGGCTATTATCAGGGTCAGGCTCAGTATGAGTACAGGGTCAGGGCTCGGTGTGTGATCATGGTCAGGGCTCAGTCAGAGGCTAGGAGTGGTACTAGCCCTCACTGGCCCTGAATACCCTGGCCTCTTACTCAGCTGGCTCTTCTAATTTCCCTGGACTGTACAACCAACTCATGGAATGGCCTAAAGAGGAAGAGTCGGGCCAGAAAAGCTTTATGGAGCCATCTGTGCCGTGTTTATTGAAACCGAGCCTGGGATAGAGGAGGTGGCTATCTGGTGCCAAATGCTGGGTCTCATGAGGCTTCAGACCCAGCTGACCCACCCTCACATGTTGCTGACGGAAAGGCACTTCGATGTTGGGGAAGGGGCCCATTCCTGTCTTCCTCACGTCCCCCACCAAGAGACTTCTAGGGACCAATGGGTAAGAACCAGCTTGGCACTGAGGTGGCC